ACTCAACCTAACCATGGAAAGGTAACTTTTTTTTTTACAAACCGAGTAAAAATTAAAAACAATTGAACATATTGAAGAACATTAGCACCTTTGTAGCCGAGATCTACGTCAACTACTTGTCTGTTTCCTTTAGCAGTTTGTGGCTGCTACAGACATCCTGGAGCGCTAGGGTCACCGGGGGCAACTCCTGGAGCGCCAGGGTCACCTCCTGGAGCGCCAGGGTCACCAGCAGCTGTACTGCATAGCCCTATTAAATACTGAAGCCGGTAATTCTGTAACTAGAGCCAAATGCTGCAAATTAAAAGAAAAGCCTCCTAGCTCCAGATATAAAAATTGCTTAGAATTTCTGAGACAGACCTTTCATTTTCCCTAAGATCAAAAAAGCCAGGAGGGATTTTGTAGGTCCTATAAAAATCACTTGTGATCATTCACATCTAAGCTATAGCATTTTCGTGTGCGTCTGACACACATTCATTAGATGACACTTTTCAGCTGGCAGATTGAGAGACATGATTGTAAAATGACAAAAGGTAAGCAAAACCGATTGTGTAGTTCATTGACTTTGAAGTCTATGGGCCAAACGCGCTGTATTCTGCCAAAAAGTAGCTCCTGTATGTTTTCCAGCTTGTGACAAAACGCTTAGGTGCGAACAAGGGCCATAGAAATGAATGGGGTTCCTGGCTTGAGGTGTGAATGAAGAAGACTAAAAGCCAATTCCAGCTATACAACTGAAAAATCACCAGTGAGTGGTAAACGGGGGTACATGAAAGAGTAAACAAAAAAAGCAAGACGATCCTATGGCATAAGTCACTCAGTAAGGTATTGCTGGGACTGAACAGCTCCTTTCTTAGAAATGGGCAGTAGGCTGGTTTGTGGTTCAGTGTCAGACATCTTCCAAAGCCTTGAGCACTCCTGTAGGTAGCAAAGCTTACAATGGGAATCCTCCCAACATCATGGGAGAAGAACTTTTCCCCCAATACCCCCCAGGCCAACTAAAAACCTACTCTGACATGATTTTGGCCACATAACATATTTTTTTTTTATTCTTCAATATATGACTTTTAGACATATAGGGAACCCGTAAAGAGGGCCAGTTATTACTGTATCTGAACTTCAACCATGCACAACTGTGGCACTGCAATGGCTAACTCAAGGTTACATGCCAACATGTACAATAAACTGCAGGCTATAACAAATCACAGTCAGTTGTGAAGGTTTGGCAACTGTTGGTGCCATGGTTAGCATAAGTGAAGTTCTGAAGTTCTCTAGGGTGAGAAGGGGGAATAAACATTATACCATTGAGGGAATCCAATTCAGGATTTAGTGAGGTCATCACTTACATTGTCTAGGCCTCACCACACTCAGAGAAGAACAATGATTAACAGAGCTATGGTTTGCCTGGCCCTTTGGCACAAAGAGGTTTCAAAGGAAGGACTTCATCTCTACTTTCTCATGGAAGGGAGGTGCTCCTTGATCTACAGCCCCTGGACTTAACGTCATCAGGCAAGCCAAGGGCTTTGTCAAGTATGAGGACTTGCGAGCAAGAAGCTTCAAGCATACCGATAGTTAGGAGAAGCATTGGCATAAATATTCATAAAACTGAATAGCCATCTCTATGGCAGCCCCACAACCCCTACTACAACCAGTCCACCTCAACCAAGCCTATTCCCAACATGCAGCCCGGCAAGTAACACTAAACTCGAGGAAAATCTCAAAAATACATAGAGAACTATGGGGGTAACCTTTTTCTCCCATAGTTTTCTTTAGTGTCATGGGAGGACATATACTAACCTCCTCCCGTGACCCAAAGCTCAGTATATAGCAAGCTATATACTGAGAGTGCAGCAGCAGGGACATGTTGAGACAATACTGTCGAGATCCACCCAACTGGCTGAATGACAGCAGGCTATGCCCATCTAGAGGCTGAGGCAGCTGTGCCTGCCCCCTCTCCCTCCCATTCCTCCAGTCAGCATTGCAGTATCGGAGCGGGGAGGGGGAGAATCCCTGCGGGGACTAACAGTCACGGCTCTCTGCAGGAGTTGATCGAGAAGTGAGCGAGTGACAGTATGCGTTCGCTTACTTCCCGATCTACAGAGCAGACATGCGACAGTTTCAATGTCCCACGTCGGCTCTAACTATGAGGAAGAGTGTAAATCACTTACCTCACAGTTCTCCTTTAAAAAAGTACCTTAACTAGTAAGAACATTGTATCTTATTTGTGTATCACTCGGCTGTAGCTCCTCAAATCATCTCTGAATTGGTGCCGACACTGTCCTTCCTTCTGGAGGGGGGCTACTTTTGTCCCCCATGGTCCCTGTGTGTGTTGTAGTCACCGCTCCAAGCTCGCTCTTGTGATTAGTTTACGCATTTGTATTGAGATTGTAGTCCATCACGAGAGTGAGCTTGTATCTTTGACGTCATTTACACAGTAGTTTCCTTTTCAAGAAGAACTCCACCCAATCGTTTAGGCCAAGAGAGTTGGGTAAGCAAGGTCCCTCCCACACCCAATGCTGGTCACATCAATCTAAAGGTTTGAATGGATATGGAGGGGGGACGGGGCATTTCTTATTGACCCCCATTTAATTTTAAACCACTTGAATTTGAAAGCAATATATATATATATATATATAAATAAAAAACCTTCCTTCACAATAATCCTATTTTACTTTTACTAGACGGGGAATAGGAAAAATGATTCTTCACTAGAAAATACAAAATTTTATTTTCTTCTTCATTTTAGTCAAATAAATATCAAACATTGCATATAAACATAATTTGGTACAAGCAGCTTGGTGACAAGACCCGAATAGCAGGACATCACATTACATCTACACAGCTTCATGAGTCAGAGGAAGGGCCCCCCGCCCGTCTGGATTTTCTATCTACAGGGGCAGAGAGGACATCACGTGTAGCAAACACTATATTGTACATATACACAGTGTTAACTTTTAGTTTATAAAATAATACAAATATGAATTTGCAATTTCTAAACTTGTAATTGTTAAAAGTTTAAATGAAAAGAGCCGTTTTTGCACATGTCACAAAGCACATTTTAGGCCTGAAGATTGCTTAAAACACGCCAGAATTGTATATTTCCTGAAGGCAGAGACCTGATAGAATAAAATGCTGGCAGTTGCAAGTTATTTTGCATGATATTAGCGCAACTGTTCAAACCCAAATTTTCAATAAAAAAAATAAAAAAATCACTTAAGCCCGTGACGTGAGCGAATCGCTTCCTGTGTAAAGCCAACAGCCGGCTTCACACATGTAAACAGACTCCCGGCTGCTATCTGTTTACCGGGGGCCGATGTCACCGACATACAGCGAAAGGGTTCAATCTCTAAAGAAACGAGCAGCAATATTAAAGCTGATCAAACAAAACTGACGGGTCCATTTTTTTTTAATGCAATCAAAATTTCAAATGGGATAATTTGCATGACTGGAGAGTAAACGGTGTGGCCTCTCTGCAGTGGACCTATACTCTTAACTTAGCTATATTACACTAGCTAAGCTGCAAAAATCAAGAGCAACTAGGAGGGATTTTGTCCCGGAGAAAGAGCTGTCTAAGGCTCCTTCCAGTGCTGGACACATGTCTGAAGGCATGGCACTGTGAAAAGAGTGCAATCTGGCCGATGCTTCCCTTAGTACATAACTGATGTCAAAGAGTAAACCTGATTGGTCAAAGCCCCCCCAACACCACCCTCAGAACCCTAATCTGATCTGAACTGGCTGCTAACCGATTAAACCCAGTAGGTCTTATAAATGATCCCTGTACTCAATGGCCATGTCTCCATAGCAACAGCAGGTAGCACTAAAAACATAATTGGTAATTGCCGTGTTCACCCATAATATAATCAGGTGAGAAGCAGGAGTGGTCTTAGGTCGGGTTCACATCACAAACAGTGCGTTCCAGAGCGGTCAGCTGCTGGAATGCACTGAAACCCATCATGGCTGGCTTCCTGCGTTCAGGGGTGAGGCGGTGCATTGAAGTCAATGGCACCACAGCCACGCCCATGGTGTGATAGCCTGAACGAGAACGCCTGGGACAATCAGTGCCTGCGTTCCGGTCCAGTGCGTTCTGAAAAAAGTGTTTGCTGCATTTTTTTCAGATCGCACTGGACTTGATCACAGGCACTGATGTTCCACGCGTTTTGGTGTGGGTGGGGGATGGGGCGTGGCTGCGGTGTCATTGACTTCAATGCACCTCCACGCCCCCCAGCAGCAGGAAGCCAGCCGGGATGCGATAGTGCGTTCCAGCAGCTGACCGCTATGGAATGCACGGTTTGTGGTGTGAACCTGGCCTAAAGGTGGCCCACACGTACTGATATGATCAGTCAACCAACCCGACTAAAATGACCAGAATCAATACGAACTGTAGACCACAGACCCTCTATTCTAGTAGCCGGGGCTTTTCTGATCAGACGAATGTGTGCATATGTTCGATCTTATTTTCAATAGCGTAGGTGTTACATGATTCCATATTTTAAAAATGGATCACGATTCCCTTGTTTGCAATCGCTCCCGCCTAGAAGAAAATATCGAAACATGTATGGCCACCTTTAAATATCTGCCTCACCAACCTTCTCTGTCCCAACTGGTTGGGTGGAGTGCCCCCTTTAACCCTTTCTATGATGAAGGGAAACCAGCAGCATGCCATCTTTCAGAGCATTTTACCTGTCGCTGACAAAAGAGGGTATAAGCACCATCATTATTCCTGCCACAATATTAATAACACAATGGTTTCAAAACACCTAATTACTAAAAAAAATAAAAATAAAAGTAAATTCGTCAGAGCAGATGTAAAAAGCTCATAAAAATGTGAGCACCGATAAAACGACTCCAGCTGCTGATCTAAGTTTTTTCCTTTTTATTTTTTTTTTTTTTTTTTTTTTTTTTTTTTTCTTTCTTTTTTTGAAAGCGACACTATCTTAGTGATGCTCTTCCTCCACAGCTGAAGTGGATCAGAAGGGGTCTTCAAGCCAGTTGAAGTTGGTTGTGTCTGAGCGGTTTAGAATTAAAAGAGTCCAGTACTGACTATAAAATATACTAAAAATGAAGATTCCCTTGTGACTAAAACCATTTTAAGGGCTTCACAGACTAACACTGCGTCCTCCTGTAAAAACAGGTCCTCAAGGCGAGGTCAGGATGCTGCCACTTTTATCAAATTTTTTACCCTTTGACAGAGCTGCGACTTGTTTCAGTAATTCCCGGTTTTTGCCCTAAAGAGAAAGAAAACAGAAAAAAAAAAAAAAAAAAAGGTCAGGACACGATTTATACAGCCATCAACTCTTCATTCAATATTCAAACTTTAAACCTGAGTATTATCTCCGCTGTTGATCAATGGTGGCCATACACGTGGAGGCAATAACCCCCTTGGAAAGCTATGCATGGCCTGCACCTCGTGTGATCAAATATATCAAACCAGGTCAGGACTTGGCCCTAAAGTGACACTAAACTAAGTTAAATTTTTTGTTTTGTTTATTTCTTTGTACAAACCATCAAAAAGGTAGATTAAAGATCTCATACACTAAACATATTTAAATGTTGTTCTTTGCTCAAAGGAAGGCTGTTCAGTGATTTTTTTCAACTCGACACTAAACTCAGGAGTTAAATCTTAAATATAGATTCAAGTGCCTGAACTATTAACAAAAATGTATCTTATTTGCGTATCACTCGGCTGTAGATCCTCAAATCATCTCTGAATTGGTGCTGACACTGTCCTTCCTTCTGGAGGGTGGCTACTTTTGTTCCCCATGGTCCCTGTGTGTGTTGTAAAGTAGTCACCGCTCCAAGCTCGATTCCTGTGATGGACTACCATCTCAATACAAATGAGTAAACTAAACATGAGATTGTAGTCCATTGCGGGAGTGAGCTTGGAGTGGTGACTACTTTACAACACACACGGGGACCCTGGGGAACAAAAGTAGCCACCCTCCAGAAGGAAGGACAGTGTCAGCACCAATTCAGAGATGATTGGAGGATCTACAGCCGAGTGATACACAAATAAGATACATTTTGACAATAAGTCAAATCTTAAAAATACATTCAAGTTTAGCGTCACTTTAAACACATTTAGTGCTTTGTGATGGTGAACTTTTTGGAGTTTTTGTCCATCACTGATCAAATGCACTTTATACGTGCTGAAGAAATGCATTTTGGGACTTGAATTTTATAGGGAAGTCCGTTTACACCTGTTTACCCCCAACTCCGGCTGGGTACGGATCAGTTTCGCCGGACCTATTCGTGCCGGGAAAGGGTTAATCTAACGTAAACAGACTCATGTCAGATTACATCCGATTCCCCATAGACCGGCATGAGTCTGGTAATTTGTTTTTCCCTCCATTGCAAGATGGAGGAAAAAAAAACTGGACGGACACAGACGTCACAGCGGCGACATCCGCTCCGTACTGCTCTATCAGGAAAGGATCCATGCATCCCTCCTGATCAGCCCGTGTGAAAGGGGCCTAACAGTTAATGGATGCACTTGTACACCAAAAACAATATAAGAAAGCGGCCAAAGGTTATATTCCTCTCATGGAAAGAGAATGGAATTCTTTAAGGCAACGAAGGGATGCTTACCTGCAACTGCTCAAACGATTCCTTGTGGGCCTTTTCCATGCCATTCATCTTTGTCCTCAGGTTATTCTCTTGGTACTGGAAGTCTGCTTTCAGTTCTGTCAGCTTTAAAGAAAATCAACAGAAGTATTTAAACACCATGAAGTAAATATCTATTGGGTTCTTACAGTGCCGTCAATTTCATTTGAATCCAGGGAACATTTAAAATGGTTTGTGTGGTTTTTTTTTTATAGTTACATTAAACTGATGGCGCACAGGTCAGACAATGCTGGTCCTCTTTCAGAAGGGGTTGTAAATATCAAATGTTTTTAATTCAATCGTTTGCAACACCAGAAGTTAACCTGACACCAAACCAGGGAAGGAATAGAACTGCCCTAATACATTCCCAATGCCTTTGCAAAAAAATTCAAAGTAACTCTCTACAGAAAACTACCAGGGAGGGTATATACATCACTTTGCTCAGATGGTAACAGCCTTCATCACCTCCCTCTAATTCTGATGAACAGACTAAGTAAGATGGCACAAAGATAATATAAAATATGGATAATGCAAACAAAATTAAACACAGATTAGCAAGTAGGTATGCGCGAAAAAATAAAAATTGCTACAGCGTGGATGAGGGAATCCTTCTCCCCCCTGGGTGTGCTGCAGTCATTGTTTGGACTAGCTCCATTGATAAAGTTGATTATCGACTTTAGTTGAAAAAGTGGTGCCAACAGGGCCACACACTGCTCGCATTTCCTGCTGGCTGGACCTGAACTCGAGCAGTTTATAGTCTTGGCTTTTTTCCTTATGTCTGTACCAACAGGTTTCTCAATTCAAAATGAATGTCAAGTGTATTAAAGTGCATCTACACCCAAACACAAAAGTTCAGTACATTGCAGCTTCCCAGATCTTAGATCGGGGAAAAACAGAGCCCACACTCGTACATACCTTTTTATCCTTCTCCAGAATGGTTTGGTCTCTCTGTTGTAAGAGACGTTTCAGAGACATCACTTCCTCTTTCAGCTGGCTGATTAGGACAAAGTTGTCTGTACCACCACTGTCAGTCGACTGAGTGATTGAACTACTAAAATAAAACATGCTGGAATTTGAATATTTATTGTAATACCAAAGAATTGTGTGTTTCGCACAGCACAGGCTAACAATTCTCTTCATTTATAATCACAAATGAAATACCAACTACTCCCAACATTGTTACTACTAAAGTGATCAAAAAAAAAAAAAACTGTCAAATGTCTGGAAATCCTCAGCTAGTTTTCCTTTTGCTTAGGGAGTCCCCCACATCCCCCTGCCAATGTTACAGAGTCAACTTCAGCCTAAACTGGAGCCAAGCACTGCTCATTGCTGAACTATGTCCAGTCTAATGGCTTCTACAGGACTCTACCCACCCTGAACAATTGTATGGCATCCAAGTACTGAGGAGGGATTCGCTTAGGTGAAAGTCAGTCAAAAGCTGAAATGAAATTCAGAACGGAGAGAGGATTTCACTATCTGCTCTGTTTACATTAGAGGATTATTTCAAGAGAATCTGTTAGGGATTCACCGATACCGGTCTTTCGGTATTTTTTTTCAGTACTCGCCAATACTGAACACCGATATCGGAAGTCCCATTAGGGAGACTGGCAGCAATTAATGATTCGCCGCCTGGCTTCCTGATTAGCTGGGAAGCCAAGCTCCATCGTCACCAGGCGACGAGGAAGCATGGAGCCAGCTTCCCGACTAATCAAGAAACCGGGTGGCAACTAATTACACCCCGCCCGGCTTTCTAGTTTGCCGGGAAGCCGGCTCCATGCTCCCTCATTGCCAAGGTGCATGAAGCTGGCTTCCCTGCCAATCAGGAAGCTGGGTGGCATGTAAAATACTCGCTGCCCAGCTTCCCAATTAGCAGGCTCCATGCTCCCTCGTCACCAGGTGATGAAGCATGGAGCCAGCTTTCTGATTGGCCAGCTTCCGACCAAATCCGGAAGCCAGGTGGCGATTAATTACACGCGGCCCGGCTTCCTGATTGGCCCGGAAGCCGGCTCTATGCTCCCTAGTCACTGGGGAGCATGAAGCTGGCTTCCCGGCCAATCAGGAAGCTGGGAGATGGGTAATGACTCATCACCCAGCTTCCGAATACCGGAAAGTTCCAGTATTAGCAGCATTTGGGCGAGTACAAGCTGAGAACTTTTCAAGTGGTTTTATTCTAAGTGAAACAGCCAGACAAATTGCATTTTAAGAAAGCCAACAATGACAACTTCCTGTTCTCCCATGACAGCCACTTTAAATACAACATGGCAGACAGAGGGACAATGAAGGAAGGTATTTAATGTGAACATTGCTTTCTACACATAGTTCAAATCGACTTGTACACAATAATGCAGCTGTCCCAGGCAGCACATGCCTTTTTTTGCACCCCTCAGCTGCTGAAAGCAAGGAATGAAAGCCATGTATGCCTGTCACTACGGTCAGAGCTTTCACAGGGTTAGGGGCTATTTGCCCTCCACCATATAGTGATCAACCCAGTCCTGTCACATAAGAGAAAGGTGAGCGAGTCACATTCGCCTCTATAACCAGAAGTATCTGGAATTTTCTTCAGTATGGGTGGCAAAACAGAGATGGGGGGAGCAAAGTAAAGCGTGTGGTGCTGGGGAGGGGGGCACTGCTGGGAATCTGATGCTTTGGTGTGTGGGCACAGTATATGTTATCTTTAAAACTGAACTCCAGACAGAGGTATTTATTCTTGTGTGGGAACCAAAAAAAGTTACTCCAGCTCATGTGTAGTAAAGGATTCTGTTTTCAGCTATGTACTGTAAAATTCATGTTTGTATTATAACGCAGAAAAGTACAGCTATCGATGTACGTCTGGCACACCATGGCTCAAATACAAGGGCATTGTCATTTAGCAGGCCACCCTTCTCGGATTCTGTGAATCATTCACAAAATGGTGGGGGGGGGAGAGGCGAGCAGTCACTGCTGCATGACTGAGGATCAGCTGAGTATCTTCACCTATAGACCAAAATGAGCGCAAAGCGCTTGCAGTGCAGGGGTAGCACCACTACAAAGTTAAATTTAAAAACTTGTTTCTGTGGATAGTCTATCTTTAAAAACGCACTCATAACTCATTATATACGCAGGCACTGCTTCCTGCCTAGTAGCGCTGTTCAATGTCTGTGCTTTACTGCTCCTCTCCATTCCCCTTTGCAGTGTCCAATGGTATAAAATTACAATGCTCCTGTAAGCCAGAAACCATGTGATCATTGTCTTAGTCTAGGCGACATGTGGGAGCTGAAGAATGGATTATTTCTAATGATGGCAACAAAGTATTTTTTTTTAACTTAAATCAATGAATGCATTTAGTAATGCTGACATGTGATGTATAGATTGAGACACTATCACATTTTAATAGGTCCGCTTTAACTTTCACGGTTTGTAAATATAACACATTGAAAGAAACAAAAGACCTGTGAAAAGCATGCATTACATATGTGGAAGCAAGGGGCATGCCTAGAGATATAAAGGATACACTATAACAAATTTAAGATGGTTGCGTCTCACTTTCTGGCACATACGTTTCAGAGACAACTGGGAGCAGAGGTTAGTATTGGACCACTGGGAAAGTTATATTTTAATGCTCAGGTATCA